GTCCAGTCGAATAGTGCAATTGGTGGATGGGCTTTACACTCACTGCCCTGGCGTGGAAACTGTGGAGTACCGCCGCAGCAACCCATCGTTATATGTGATACGTATCACCCATTCCCAAGTATGTTGAGTGGCTCAACTGTGTTCAGAGGTGAACCCTCTTTGCCACCTGCCTCAGGTGATGTGGGTGTGTGTGTGTCTGCGTTTGGTATTACAACTATGCCGAACCCTTGCTGGAATGGCTGGGAAGACTTGCAATGGGAGTGTGGTACGCACTGCGTACTACGCAGCAGTACCAGCCGTAGCAAGTGGTGCAGGATTGCATGCATACACTGGAACTTTACACACGGCTTGTGTGTTGTTTAGTTCTCCAAATCACTCCATGTATTACAAACCGCAGAATACGTGACCTGGAAGACGCCCACACAAATTTATCAAGCATGCAACCAACATAATTCGAGTTGCTGCAAAATGGAAACCCCTTGGCAACTTCGCCTTGACCTTGCCGTGGCTGGAAAGCAAGTACCTGTGGGTAATAACGGACCAAAATTATTAATCAACGGATATTTTGTTGCGGACCGGACGCCGCACACATCATCCGTTAACTTAACGGCAAATAACGGTGAAGAAAAAGTGAGAGCCGGATTTTGCGGACTGCAGTACGGCAAATAGCGCACCGGATATTACCGGACGAATATCACACTCAGTTTTACGGACCGGACTTAACGGACCGGACGGCACCCGAGTGTGGCCACCATTGTGTCACAATCCCGATCGCCGCTTGGTCTCCCCTACAGATCTGATCGCTACGACTCCCTCCCAATCGCTATGTGCTCTCTCTGGCAGCTTGGGTCACTGCTCTGTCTCCCCTACAGCCCTGATCACCGCAACTCCCCTTCACACCCCAATCGCCATGGCGCCCTCCCATAGGGATCGCCCCTCTGGGGTAGGAGTGGGACTGTGGAGTAGGACCACCATTGCCTGGTCTGGCGCCAGACTAGTGCTGGTACGCGCTGGTATGTAGCCGGTCTGGCAACACGTCTAATGTACAGGGTCGGGTCAGAAGTCCCCCTTTTGTCTAACGCACCCCCCCGCAGAGGACCCCCTTTTGTCATTTTCCCTAAAAAAATGAAAATGCAAAATAGAAGGAAAAATAGAAACAAGAAAAGAGGAACAACTGTCAACCGTCCGAGACACAGGCCGCCTCGCCTCCAGCGCAGGCGCGGCGCCGCCCTCTCCAGCCGGCAGCATGGATATGCACAGCCACCACGGTCATCACCACGGCCCGCCCAGGGGTGGCCGCGGCGGCCCGCAGATCTCCCGCCAGGAGGCGCAGCGCCGCCTGAAGGAGAGCGTGTCCGGCCACCGGACGGGGCTGCCCCGAAAGCTGCTGGACCTGTTCGCGCCGCGGGCACCGCTGCCACACATCCCGCCGCAGCCTCGGCGGCGGCCCAACCTGCCGTACACCGGGATCGCGCAGTACCTGGCGTTCTTCGCGGAGCCAGGGGATGGGGAGTACGAGATCGGGAGGCCCGACGACCGGCCACAGTCCCCGCGCACCTTTCGCAACCGGGAGCTGGCGGTGCAGGCCAGGGTGGACGTGGAGAGCAGGGCGGAGAAGTGAGTGATCCGGCTTGGCGGGTGCGCGGAGCTCGCGCGGCTGCACCCGGCTGGTTTGGGCACTGAGGGCTGGTCAGCGGCCATGCTGGGCTCTGGCGGCCGGGGAATGACTCCCCTTCGGCTTGGGAGCCTCTTTTCGTCGTACTGAATCCCGATTCTGTGTTTGCCGCGAAGGATTGAGAGGCTGAAGCTTGCTCAGAAGGCGAAGGTTAGTTCTCTGCCCATGGGTCTGTCCTTGGCTCCGTCCATGGAATGGAATTTGTGAATGGGTTTGTTCACAGCGTGAGAACTCGTGCAGGGGCCTCAGCTTGTCCGCCCAGCGGTCTGACTTGTGGCATCTGGTATTTTGGCAGCTGTCAGGGCAGTTTTGCGATTTGGAGCCTGCGTATCTGACCCCAGGGCCTGCTGACGTCATCGCTGTTTGTGCTGTCCAGGCGGAGAATGATGTTGAAGAAGGCGTGAAGAGTTGGGATGCCAAGAAAGACCCCAAGATCGAAGTGAGCAATAATTTCATGGTGCATTCAGTGCAGTGGTACCACCATGTCATTTCTGTGGTTGTGTTGTGTGGTTGACTGCCAAGAAGCATCAACTGTGCCTGTTCGTCAAGTTGCTCCTGATGCAACAGAGACAAAGCGCTTTCTTGTGGCACGGCTGGCTGATGTGTGCAGGGTCTCTCGTAATGTGTCCTTTCTGATTTTACTGTGACCAGGGTGATGCATACAAGACGCTATTTGTGGCAAGAATCAGCTACGATGTGACGGAAAAGAAATTGAAGCGTGCGCTCGAGGAATATGGTCCGATCAAGAGGGTGCGCTTAGTCCATGACACAAATGGTGGGTGCACTCCTGTGGTGATATTCAAGTAACCACCTCTGTAGCTTTGTGCCAAAACCATTTTTTATGCTGAGGGCACTGCTGGGGATATTTGAAACCTACTACATTCGATCTGGCTGAATATGCGCATCAATGGCATGCATTGGGAAGCACTGATTCGGAGACCTTGTGAAGCTGCGTGGTCCAATCCAGGGTGGTCACAGGCTGCAGTTGGCTGTGGTGTATAACTGGTAGTTTGCTGTAGGCTTGGCCTGATTGAATGGTTCTTGCCTACTATGTCGTTTTTCTGTTCCTTTTGGTTGCTTTTGTTTCTCAATATTGTCAGTGCGATGTTTGACTTTCTTTCCAGGCAAGCCCCAAGGCTATGCTTTCGTTGAGTTTGAACACAAGGCAGACATGAAGGATGCTTACAAGAACGCCGATGGACTCAAGCTTGAAGGGCGAAGAATTGTTGTAGATGTAGAGAGAGGGCGAACAGTCGATGGCTGGTATGTTGGACACTGGCAGCACTTGTTTTCACATAAGTAAGTCCAGCACTCCTGGGCACCTTGGACATTGCAGGCAATTCGGCCAATATGAGCTCATGGCTGCATCCTGTTGACTGGAGGTTGCATGAGATGGACATGTCTATAATGCTTACTGTTTTTGCTCTGTTGTGGTGCAGGCGGCCTCGCCGGTTGGGTGGTGGTTTAGGAGCACAGACTCGTGCAACCAGAGAACCAGGAGCTGCCAGAGAAAACGCAAGGATTGAGATGGAAAGGTGGGGGGCCACAGCACTCCCTAGTGGCCTTGCAATGACCAAGCTGGAACATATGAAGGAATCCGTACCCACAATAGCGCAGTCTGGTGTTGATGGACGATCTTGTCAAAAATGTACTTTGCTTCATAAGCATCAAAGGGGTTGCTAGAGTCCGTGTGGGAATGGTGTTGCTGGGTAAAGGCTATTGGTTTGAGTGTTTAGTCCTCGTCTCAAACCCTGCCTTTCAGACCTACACACTTTGGTGGCTTGAAAGTGGACTGTAGATGCTTGTCCATGGCACTGGCTTGGTTGTGTGTCTCAGTTCAGCCCCAATGTGTGCAGGGACATGAGAGACCGTCGTGACGGTCCCCCCATGCGACGTGACCTCATGGATGGCAACAACTATGACCGCTACGTGAGGGACAGGCCACCACCATTTCCAGACAGATTCGACCGCGACCGTCCTCCACGTGACTATGACCGGCCACCACCAAGGCGCAGGGACCAAGAGCAAGATCGTGACATGCTTCACAGCCGTGATCGTGACCATGATCGCGACCGCGACCGCGACCGCGACCGTGATCGTGACAGGGACCGTGACCGTGGCCATGACCGCGATCGCGACAGAGGTAGGGAGAGGGATAGGCACGAGAGGGGGGACCGCCGAGATCGGAAGAGGTCACGCGACCGTGACGATGGCAGGTATGTTGAGCTCCTCAATGGGACACTGGGACAGGTTTTGGAACAGGGTGGGTTTGGTGAGTATGATGTTCAACGCTACACCAGGTACCCCAGCCTCACCAGTCGACTCGTGAGCTGAGAGCTGCAGGCAAGCCCAACAGGTGCCAATAGGTACAGGGGCAGTACCTAGTTTTACTTTGACAACTGTAGCCATTGCGGATGTCGAACACAGAAGCTGCCAGAATACATAATGGCAGGTGGGAAGAAAGCAGGTTGCTGTGTGTTGTTCACATAGCATGGAATGGGGCAAAGTAATGCAGCTGGGACCAGTTTTCACAGGCCCCTCTCTTGCGATGGGAGGCAACAGATTGCACTATTTTAGCTTTCCTTTATTGTGCAGCATGTTTGGTTTGCATATCAAATTTGCTGCTGGTCTGTCGGGAGTTTGCAGATGTAGCACGGTGAGCCCAAAGCATATAATACGTATTTTTCCCGTATTTTGGCAAATTCGTCACACCACCATGTACAGAACAGGAGTCAGGTTCAGTGGTGAGTGCCCTTGACAACAAGGTTTCGTTTCATCGCCACTGGAAGCCTGGAGTAAAAATGCGAGGGACAGGCTGGAGCCTGTGGGATTATCCATGCCAGCTGACCTGGACATCTCAGAGGGTTTGGTGTTCAGACAGACAGCACTGCACAATGGTGGCGCAGTTCTGGCCACTGCATGAGCTTGGTGTGCACTAGGATGTGCATTTTATATGACCTGCGCATGTGTTTGCCATCAAACATCTATACTTTGCACAGCAACAGCATTCTATGGGACTGTTCATGTGGTCAAGGCTACTACATTCTTGTTCTGTCGATCGCTTGGAGTGTTGGTTTGTGCGAAAAACTCAATAGTGGCTTGTGGATTGATTCCACTGGACCAGATGGATATCGCATATGGACTCTGAAGTGCTCGCAATATGCAACATCTGCATACAGTATCTGCACACTTGGTATCCATGCTGCACAATGGCACATTGTGTCTTCCATGGTCACCATTGTGCAGTTGGGCGAGAATATCAGTTTGCATCAGAGGAGTCTGACAGTCTGGGGGTGTCCATGGGCCAGCGATGTTTTGCTGAGGTTTCCAATGAGAGATGCAGCAACGAAGATGCGAAAGGCATCAGAGATTCGTCCTATTTGGTATTGGAATGGAGCAATGCTCCTTGCTACAGGTGTTGAAGTGAGAACGCATCTAGGAACCCATAGGGGAATGTCATCTTTGCTTCCAGTTGCAGTTTCAGCAGCCCTCTCGTTGGCTTGCCAAATTGTGCAGAGTGTTCAACAAGGTACCCAAAAGGCAGCTGCACATTTGCTATCCGTAGGCCAGACGCTGGGTTTGTTGGAACCAAGGGAGGTATGTGTCCTCAACCTCTCGTGTCGCCCCTGGTAAGGTTTTATTGGTTGTTGTGTACCTGCACCAACTCATTGCGGTGGTTCAGCAGTATCCCCCAATAATGTGTCGCAGGGAGCCAAAACGACGAAACCTGGAAGAGGGTGAGCTGGATGGACGCAAGGACAGGGACAGGGACAGGGACAGGAGGAGGGACAGGGAGAGGGAGAGGGATCAGTAGGCTGCCAACCAGCATATTGTGTGCCATTCTTCTGTCGCTGCTTGCTTTCTGTTTTGGGTGTGGGTGTGGCTGCTCTGGTTGTTTTGGCTGGGGTGCTGCCGAAGCTGGAATCCACCAAAGCAGGTAAAGTTAAAGCAGGCTGGTGTGGAGGAGAGGTTGCCTGAAGTAAGTCAAGCTGATGTGAGAGCACGCCCTGTGCAGGCTGCATGTGTTCATTCCGCATAGAGGGTTTGGTCGTGGAGACGGGTGAGTGTCTGGATGCACAGCAGGAGACGACTTTCTGTCAGGTAATGGGGGCTGCCTGCGCAGCTGCCCAGCATGAGGGCGTGAGAGCCCAGCTTGCTGTGTTGGGAGCACAATGTGTTGCATGACCAGGTAAATAGGATGAACAGGTAATTTGGCAAGGATCGCACTGGGGAGGTGTTGCTGCTGGTTTGTCAACTATGTAAGACGGGCTTGTCTCTTTGTGTTTGTATGTTGCACATCTGCTGATGAGGTCGACCTGCGATAGTGAGAACTCCACCACTCTGTCCTCACCTGCTTTTCCATTTGTAAACTGACTGTGCAGGATTTGATTACGTGCCTTACCAGTGGCATCGTCAAGTGCACAGTGCCCTCGCAGGATCGACGCACTACCCTGTTGCCATCTCCACGAAAGACGGTTCACTGGTTTCTCCTTTCATTATGACCACTTGCGCCCCTTGCCCAGGATGTGTGGAGCTCATTTTCTTTGGAAAATCATCGACCATGAAACCAGGGCCTTCACCGAAGCCCTGTGTTTAGTGCACATCCCCCCAAACCCTTGTCCGCTGCAGTCGTGTCCAATGTGATGTTTTTGTCTTCCATTCTTGTCTCGCGCGTTTCCCTTGCCTTCGTTCTGTTGGCCATGAGCACCACGCATGATGACGCCGTGGCTTCAACACGGAAAGGATGTGGATGTTTGCATCAGCAGCTGTGCGATGGTGTCCCTGTTCCATCAAGTTTTTTCTGCTCGAAAATTACTGGATACTGAACAGTGACAGCCCACTACTACCCCGTCGTAAGCAGGAGTGGGATATGTGTCAACAGAACCCTGCTGATATTCGCAGAAGGAACTGCTTGCAGTGCTTTACTTATTTCATCCCACCATACTCCGTGTTTCCTGGGCACATTCAATGACGACATGTTCCAGTCAAACGGAAGAAGGCGTGCGTTACCGGTAGAATCCACTCTTCGGCAACGAAAGGGTGCTGGCCCAGGGTGATGTTCACATCTTCCAAGGGGCAGCTGCAATCTGGTGGGTACCTGGCAGCCCCTCCTATTCAGCAAACGACATTCCCACCGGGGGATATTTGACACGCTAGGCATTGTCATCCAGCGCTGATGGACTTGGAATGCACCAGGGTGATGCCGCTGCCTTGTGCGACTGGTGCATTGCCAGACGGAATTGGATGTAACCGTTATGATGCGAATGGATGTAACCGTTACGGTCGCCGTTGTTGCCAAGTGAAGTGCATCGAGGACGCGGCGTCGTGGCTTTTTGGGTTCAGACGTGTGCTGACTCTGTAGTGAAACATTAGATCTGGGACGGCCGGGCCACAATTTGTTTGAGCGCCTCTCCTGATGCCAAAGTGGAGGCGTAAGGGGTTGCGCTCTTGTAGTTTTGGAAACGTGGTGTCATGCTGGCGCTAATCTTGGGTACCCGTCTCAAACCGGCACGACTCGGCAACGTTGTCTCCAATGTCCCCACCATCCTCGACGTCCAGCCCCGGCCAGCCATCGAGCGCCGCGCCCCCCTTCATCCCCCCTGGGCCTTCTCCACCTCCTCTGGGGACACGAACAAGGGCGAGTTCATGAACAGAGCGCACAGGAAGCCCAGCACTCGCATGGTCTCACTCGCATACACCGGTGTCCCTTCAGCCGCTCGCTCTCAAACCTAACGACTACAACTGTGCAGGGGCTTCTGTGATGCGTCCCTATCCTCGTGGAGTGACTCAGCCGTCGAAAATGATCATCTGCGGCAAGAAAATAGCATCGCAACATTGTCATTGGAGGGTTGTCCATTGAATGATCTGTTTTCTTTTCTGCCACAGGTGTCCCTTTGCTGTTTGCCATCTGGAGAACTGTGGACTGTATGTGGTCTTCTGAATCGCGGGTTGTGAAGTTCTTCCTGGCAAATGGTTTGAGGCCCTTGTGTGCTTGTATATGAATTGATGCTGTCCGATGATCTGATCACAGTAGAGGCACATGCCATTACTAGTGCATGGATGTTCACGTTGCTGTAATGGAAGCAATACGCACATTGACACTGTTTCTCTCCTTGACACATCCAATGCGTGCACTTCCTTGAGGCAAAGTTGTGAATTCCCCCATGCCACACCGATGTGATTTCCAAGCCTGCTGTGGGTTTGCACCACCTGTTGCACATGTGTGTGTACAGACCCAACTGTCTGTAAAATCCTGGAGTGCGTGGAACCTGCCACATCTCAGCTGCCCAACAAAAGGTGAGCGGGCCAGGCGGAAAGCTGGTGGTCGCACACAGATCATTACATTCTGAACAAAATGACACAGTGCTATGCATTGTTTGCAGCCATCAAAAAGATCTCATTCATTGCAAAATTTCGACACCCAAGAGTGGCTGGGCATGTTCTTGAAGAGTGCCGCACCCACATCCAAACTACCAAGAGAACAATGCTGCAGAAAGAAAACCAGCGCCACATTCAGATCATGCTGTCATGTCTTTTTGTTTCATCCAAATGTCAACAACTGGCACCACTGGCACCAAGCAAGAGACTGACAAGCCAGCCATGGCTGTTGGGCCACTTGGGGGTGAGCCACCTGTGCCCCTGGCTACAGTCGCACTGTCGGGTAGTTTCGAGATTTAAATCCTACATCACGAGCAGTCGACAGCATTCATGTGCGCTTTTCAACGGACCGCGGCCGTCTCAACAACCCAGGAGTCTGACATGACAATCAGCATGAAGTTGGTATCTGACATCCAAATTATATTGCCTCAAACTGTACAGAAACAAACTCAGAGGCCCTGCCTTTGATCCACCACCCATGAATTGCCATTTCCAGCTACAGTGCCACTAAGAATAAATACGACAGCTTTCAAAAGTACAAGCACAATGGTACATTTCCTGACTAATGACCCCTTCCTTCCACCAGTCTCCTCGTGGCATCCCCAACTGCTTCCGTCTGCTTGCAGCCAACCATTTCCTGCTGGTTTTCGGTTTTCTGCCGTGCCGGAGGGCGCAGGAAGCACACAACCCAGCCTACTAGCAAACCCCTTGTGTCCGTGTTGTCCGTCCAAGCTGATTTCCCACACGTGCTCCAGTGCTCACACCCTGAGTATCTGCGCCTTGTGGCCGAAGCATATAGCGATCCAGTCCGGTCGCGTGGTGGACCACTGCAGCTGCATGACCTCCGCACCCGCACTGTAGGACAGAATGGGGTCCAGGCTCCTCTCCATGGGCTTGCCGATGGCGGACAGGTCCCAAATGAGGGCCTGTGCGTCGTCCCCGGCGGTGCACATGTGGCAGGAGCTGTGTGGCGCCCACGTGACCGCGTTGACGGGCGCCTGGTGGCGGTCCAGCTCCACCACCGGCTGCGTGGGGTACCGAATGTCCAGCACCACCACCTTGGGCGAGTCCTTGATGACCGTCGCCAGGTAGCGCGGGTCCTGCTTGTTCCAGCTGAGGCGCACGAGCGGCGTGTCCGGCTTGGGGCTCTCGAAGATGATCGTGGACCGCTCCGTGTCCCTCAGGTCGAAGACGCGCACTGAGCCGTCCGCAGAGACGGTGGCGAACACCCCCCGCCCACCCCACGCGATGTCGTACACCTCCCTGTCGTGCGCGATGAGCTGCTTGTCCACCACGCGCCGCTCCACGTCCCAGATGGTGCACGTCGTGTCAATGGACGCCGTGCCCAGGCGACTGGGCATCTGGTCGTTCCAGTCGAACGACGTCAGCGGCTCGCAATACTCCGGGTTCTTGGCGTTGGACAGCGTGGCCTCGAGCTGCAGACCGGCCTCGCCCACGCGCCACAGGCGCAGCGACTCGCCCGCGCTGGCCACCAGGTCCGACAGGGTGCCCTCCCTGTCGGGCGTGAACATGACCTTGGTCGCCGGGTAGCCCAACTCCACCCTGTGGCCGGGGTGGCAAACGAACTGGCCGGTGTCCTCGTTCAGCTGGATGACCTCCAGGAAGTTGTTGGTGGCCTCCTGGAAGGAGCCCAGCGCCAGGCGGAAGTGCTTGTCCTTGCGGATGCTCCAGTTCATGGCGTACAGCGTCGCCGACGCGTTGTAGGTGAAGATTTCGGCGCCCTTGTCCGATGACCCCTGGGACGTCGCGCCGGTCTCCGTCATGGCGAACGCGCCGCCTCGGGAACGGACAGACTCCAGACCGCAATGCCGCGGCGCGCGCGGCCTACGTCAGTAAGCCGCACGGCTGGGCGCAACGCGCCCGCTGCGCTTTCCACAACCAGCAGCAAGTGGCGGCAGGGTCCCAGAGTCAGCCCTCTGGGGCTTCCCGGCGGAAGTACGGTGACATCTCTGCCGCAAACAGCGTCCGGTCTTCGGTGGGACAATCGTCTCAGAGGACGCTCCGCGAACGGGATGGCCCCGCTGCCAGCACCGCGCTAGGGTTCCAATGGCACGGTCGACCTCCCGGGTCGCTGGGAGCGAAGGGAGCAGCGCGTCGCACGGTTCTGCCGCCCGTGCCGGCTCGCAAGGACGTCGAGACACAAAGTCGAGGAATCCGTGCCACCGTCGCGCAGGCCTCTGCCCGGGTGCGCCAGCAACTGCAGCTGACGTCTCGTCCTGCTGGTCTTGTCGTGTCGACGCCAGCGAGGCCCCATACTCCCCGAGTATGGGAATTGCATTAATGTGGCAAAAATGTTTTGGAGTAAAGTTATTGCACGCAGCCACGGGGTTCCTCCGCCCGGCAGATGACGACGGGCATCAGGAACAAGGAGCGCATTCATACGCTGGCTCAAAATTACAAAACACATTTTCTTGGCAGATCGGCCCGACGGCCATCAAACACGGCACCCACGCCTCCCCGCTCGCCCTGGCGAGCGTCTCGACAACATGGTAAATTGTTTCCAACAACCTCAATTTCACTGTTGTTTGGGTCGCCAGGTAATATGAATATGAATTAGTAGAGAATCGGGCAGCCCGTGGTGGAACAGGGGAACATAGAAGAAATGGCGACCTTCAGAGTTTCGCACATGACCACGAGCTGCTCAATGCCTAGGGACACGCGGTTCATGGATACCTCGCCTTAACAACCAGTGCAAAAGTTGCAACGTGCATCAGCACACACGATGGTGCAACCCCGCCGTGGCAAAGTCGCTTGAACATGTGCTAGACCCACTATGACTGACACACAAGGGAATCCACCAAGCACCTGTCATTGCCTGCAAGGTGTAGGGACTCTGCCACGTGTTTTCGACGGATGCAATCAATGGAATGCAGCGGCTACACATGCACCCACCAAATGGAAGAAACAGTTGGTCAGCTCGGTCTACTTCCTAAAGAAGCACTTGAGAAGGATGCCAACGATTTCTCAACCTTGCTGCACGTGCCTCCATGGTGTCCCTAGGTTTGGGCGCTACACTGGGACAGTAGCATATGGGTGCCTTACTACTGCTACAATTTAGGGAAGATTAGGACATTCTTGTATTTCTCTGCTGCACATCTCGCTGTCATACAATGCCAGGGCTGACACACAACCCACATTCAAACTTGAACTAGCTCGCCACAATTGTGGCCCCCGACAAGCTGTCTCCTAGGTCTCTCTGTCTTCACCAGTTGCAGGGCCCAGTTCCCTTGTGTAACTATGGCACAGGCAGGTTGAGTTGTCAATGCCCACAAATTGACAGCCTGGCTTGCACATAATACAGCTGGTGCAGTGTCACACCACCAAGGACCGGACATCTCCCAGCACGACCAGACAAGGGGTGCTGCCCTCGATGCCTCTCAAAGTTAAAAGGCAAGTCGCAAGTTACAGCAACTTGAAACGAAGTCTGCAAAGATCCCCAGGCAACACTCCACACTCAGCAGGACATCACTAACCTATGCCATGCCCATCGATATTCGCCAGCACCACGCATGGAGGCGACAGAGCACCAAATGTCTGGACTTGTGGCCAGCGTAACTCTGTCCTGATGCCACCATGCATGACGCAAAAGCATCGTACACACCACTGCACTGTCAGCCACAGCCTCTGGAGCGAGATAAGTCCATTGACACACACCCTGGGAGCTTTGCATGCGGCATTCCAGCAGATGTATGCGCCCGCTATCAACTGCAGCAGTCACCCCACACTCGTTGCTTCCCCGGCGCGCTTGAGACTCTTCAGCGTGTTGGACAGCCAATCCAATCCCTCATACAGACCCTCTCCCCTGGAAATCAATACAGGCAAACCAGTTGAGGTTGCTGCAGCACCAAATCAGGATCACCACACTGTTTATCAGCATGCAACAGTCTTACTGGGGCCCACAAGGACCATGTGCCAGTATCAATTGGCCAAACCTTTCCTGAATCCCTGGAGTCGAAAGGCTACTGCATGAGCATACAGAGGGGCTTTTGTGAACCAAAACCTGTTCTGGTGGCTGCGTAAAGCTTCAGGAGAACATTCAAGGGCTGGACCGCATATGGTAGCCAACACAAGCTACCAGAGTGCATGCCTGCTTTGCTGCATAGCAGGGTTGGTGGCGCAGCAGCAACAGGCCCGCTGTTAAGATCCCGCGAGAGAAAAGTTCCAACGTGTGACCATGCAACTTGGCAAGGGAGCCATTTGGGTACCTGATTGCAATCGAAGCCTGAACGTGCCACCTGCGGCCTCGCAGCTCAGGTAATCCAAGGGCCTCACATACGTCAGCTGTTGTCAGGCAGCCCTTCTGCAGTAAACCGCACACAGGAAAGCCATGTCACGCCACCACTTCTGTCCTGACCATGAATTCTTGAGGCTCATTGGAGTTTTATCGCCGAGGCTGGGACAAGACATTGACATGGCAAGCACACAACATGGTCCCCATATGAGCAGCAGAACGTCTGATATGCTTGCACATGTCCCAAGGAAGCGCTTTCCAGCTGCCATTGCACTACGAAGTCACCACCACTGAGCCAGATGCAGAGAAGAGTCGGCTGGCTGGGCAACCAAGCGACAGCAAGGCTCATGTGAACACAACTGTGCTCCTGCCCCACTGAGGTGCCAAACCAACCTGGCAAGACCAGGCCTGCAGAGGTTTGAGCTGAAGAGTGCAATGCAGCTGCACTACTGCCAGGTCCACATTTCCGTACGCTTACCATGTCTTGCTTGTTTGCGTACACCAGGATGGCACTGTTCCTCATCAACGGATCATCGATAATGTTCTGCACACACACACAACACCACAACTTCCGCTTCAAGTTCTTAAAAATTCAGACCGGCATCAGTTCAGAACCGCGCACCACGGGCATCCGTGACCGTCGGTCTGTCTCCAGCGCCGAGGCTGGTCACACCTTGAACTCCGTGGCCGCCTTGTCTATCCTGTCCCTGTCCTGGGAGTCCACCACAAAGATCAGCGCGTCCGTGTTGTTGAAGTAGTGCCTCCAAAGCGGCCGCAGCTTCTCCTGGCCACCCACGTCCCACACCGTGAATACCACGTTCTTGTACTGCACCTTCTCGACGTTGAACCCTGGAAAACCACGACCAAAAATGTGACCTCCAGGGATCGAACCCTGTTGAAGGACCCAACGGGCGACGGCGATGGCCGGGGGGGCCTGCGACAAGGCCTTCGTACCAATGGTGGGCACTGTGCTCAACACCTCTCCGATGTGTAGCTTGTACAGGATCGTGGTCTTCCCCGCCGCGTCAAGGCCGAGCATCACGACCTGGGCACGCGAGCGCAGCAAGGCGCTTCCGATCAGCCTCCAATGCCGCAAGCGCGCCCATTGCGCCAGGAGCCGCCTGCCCACGGGAGCCGCCATCTCACCCGCATCTCCCGGTTGCCGAACAACCGGTCGAACATCTTCTTCAGCGCGTTCCCCATTGCGCTGGGCTCCGGGTAGGGGTGGCTGGGGGGAGCGGCGATTCTTCCTGCCTGCTGGGTTCCCCTCCGACGCGCACAGCCGGGCAACCAGCGAGGGGGAATGTGTCCCGGCGCGGGGACGCCGCCTGGAGTGGCCCCAGCAGGGCAAGCGGCAGCTCAGGCACGACGCCACCCACGGAGAAGTGGCCCGGGGCCACGGAATACCGCCTTGCGGGCTCCGCGAGATGAAACAAGATTGAACAAGAATGAAACGGGGCGCATGTCGCACAGGAAGCCTGGGCAGGCAGCCTTCCAGAAGGAGGCGGACATTGGGCTTGATCCCCTGCAACGGATCCGAGACAGCGGGGGCCACGCATGCCCGTGCAGGGGTTAACCAGGGTATAACCCGTGCAGGGGTTCTTGTACGACTTTGCAGAGGGCACATTCATGGCCACGCAGCCCGGGTTGCATGGCGCCATGCCCACGGGCTGACAGCGTGATCGCCGCGTGACAGCATGGGCCACACGAGGCTCGATGCACCCGCCAAGGCTCGACACAGTGGTGTCAAATCTTCAGGGCGATGCCACGCGACATTCCTCAACAGTGGATGAGGGATGCCGCTACGGGCTGCGCTCGGCAAGATAGGACAAACTTAGGGGCTTTAATCCACGCGCGCTCATTGTGTGGGCCCATCCTACAGCAGCAGCTGCTTCATAAACACTATCCAGCTGCTGTACTCCACAACAGCACGATTTAGCCGGAAAAACACGCTTGCATCGGAAGCCTAGCTTTCACTACCATGCTCACAACGGGCACTCGGAGCAACGGAGACTCCATTCAGCCACGAGTTGCACAGCAGTCATACTGGGCTGACGATGATGGTTGCACCACCCTTGATCGTCGATTGCAGATCGTGGGTCCGCTTCTGCCGTTCCAACGCAGCTCCATGTTCCAAGGCAGCCCGTCCAAACGGGCCGCGCAAACGCCCATGATCAGCATTGGCGATGGATTGCAAATTTCAAGCAGACTAAAGCCGCCTTGCTGGTGAAGGGCGCAGCTTGCTACGCAACAACGCAAAGTACCACTTTTGTGACCAAGGGCATCCCAACGGCACCCCAAATCATCGATGTTGTCTGCAACATCAGGCATGGAAGTGCCCACCATACTGACAGGTGATCGTACTGTACACGTTGAAATAAGGCTGCCACAACCTGCATTGTAGCACCAATCGCGCAGTGGTGCAATGCTGTCAATTCAACATTATTGGGCTTGCCTTGGGAACCACCAAGCCTGTTTTCCCGCTACTGAGTACGACTGGCCTACACAAACCTACTCGACAATGAACCAATCCCAATTCGGTCAGTATTCCGGGGTCACTCCCAGCAACGTTATTTGGTCACAGCCTCTCCTCCTCCAATTCCAAAAAACCCTCCCCCTCCAACCCAGTCTCCGCCTCTCCGTGTTCATGCCTGTAGAACTCCCACATGTCTGAAAGGATGCCAATCACTGTTATTGCCTTCCCACACCTGCTCAGATCCTCCTTGTACATCCTACCAGGTATGCTGGGGTTCACCATAGCGAACACCTCATTGACAACATTTTCACACATGTCTGGCTCATCTTGGCTGTCCTGTCCGCACTCCTTCCACAAGGCGTGTATCTCCTTGAAGAACATCCGGACATCGACGTAATCCAAGTAGCCACGCTTGTGGACATCGAAGATTGGGAAGAAATATCGCACAGCCGCCTTGCTGGACCGGTCCCGCCATGCGACCACGAATCTGGTGAAATCCATCAATCCCATTTCTCCCCCTGCACCTCCTGCGTCGCCCGCCCCTGAGCCACACACATGCTCCTCGAAGAGGCGCTTGACAAACAATTCGGAAAACTTCGTCCCCTCAAATTCCAGCAGCATCTGCAATGTGACCCTCTCACAGCCTGTTGGCTCCGACAAGTCAGAAAACGAATCCAGGACCGTTTCGATGACCTGGGACACAAACACATTGCATCATTGGTGAAAGCGCAGACAGCCATGTGCCTGAATTGTGTGACAACTGGCACAACACTTCACAGCCATGACTCTCTTCATACGACCGCAGCAAGGACATTGCCAGAAATTGGTAAATATCATGGTGATATTAATGTGGATAAACTGTACTCACCTTGCCCTGCATCATCTTCGCACATAACACCCTTCAACCGTACTTCAGTACAAAGCGCTCTTTGAGCAAACCAATACCATCACCAGCACACAGCCAACAATCGACTCCACAAATGATAGCATTCTCACCAAAAGTGTGTCTCACTTACCACCCATCTCTGAAGGGTATCTCCAGATTCATCCCACCTTCAAATATCCAGCAGAATGACAATGGAGTACAGAACGTGGGATGTTGCTGAACATTGGCTATGCACAGTCCCAGGCATAAATGACCAGGGAGCACTGAGGTTGGTACGTATCATGTCACACTGCCACACAACAGGTGTTGGGCATTTCCATTAGCTGTATGCGAAGGTTGCAGAGATTGGAATAGGAGGAATGCACATCACAGCCCCACCCAGTCAATGCAACATTTTGTCCATTACCGAACATTAGATCTGGGAGTCAGCATGGACTCAGCTTGCAAACAATCAGTGGCACAAATGCTTTTTCCATTCTGGTGCTCCAGGCATGCTGTCAATGGCTGCAACTCCCAATGCAGCGGACAATGGTTGATCTGTGGGTGCATGCCACAAGTGCCCAAGCCTCCAGGCCGTATCGCAGCACACCTGTCTTGAAAACCAGCTACCCGAGTCCGCCACTCTCCTCCTATCAGTCACTGACTCCATGGCCCTCCTGACCTCCTGCAGCTCCTCCATAACTGTGCTTGTCAGCAGTTCCACCACTCGGGTCTGCCCATTCCGGACAGCATGGTGGAATGCAAACTTTTGGACAGCCACCTGTCTAGCCTGTTGGATGCGGTGCTTGTCCATCCCTTGCCTCTCAAAAAGCTTGCAGTAACCCAAGTAATCCTCCAGATCCTTCAAGGTCACAATCCCACGTGCACTTCGATCGTAGGTACTGAGCTCCAAGTGCTGGAACAATGTGTTCGTCAGTACACTTGCGAGCATGCTCACGACCAATTGCACACATGTTGACCACTGTAACGCAATATTCTGCTTGCTATCAGTGACGTGAGCATCTCCCACAGGCAAGACAAGCAAAAACTTTGATCATGAGTCGACCAGTTCTATGAGCTTGGACACAGCAAAACATGAACATAGTGTTGAGCAGCGTGCTCCAATTTCTTGTGCTGATGTTGCAGCTGCCCTTTGGACGTTTTCTTTAGCATTGGCAGTACAATTGCACTCCACTGACAATCTCCCAGGAGAAACACCACAGCAATTAGCTTGTTGGCGCCAAGGGCTCCCAGTTGTCAGCTGTGAGGCTGCAGTTGGCACATATGCCAGTCTGAAGGCAGCAGCAATTTTCATCTAACGACGTCCAACAAAAAACAGCACTCTACAAGTTGTCAAGCACAGGGCATCAAGAGCCTATAAAAACAGCAGGCCACAATCAGCAACAGCGTCACATCAAGCTGATGTATGGATGCTCACCAATCTGCGCATGTCTACATAGCGCTTGACGTATTCTGTCAGGCTTTCGGCAGGAACTGAGCCTCCCAAGCCTCGCAGTTTGAGAAATGTCTGAGCTCGGAAGCATCGGTCAAGCTCAGAGCCCCACAAATCGCGGCAACGGTCTTGCACACGAGTCATGCCTTCGAAATCAATGTACTCCACACCATGCTCGTCTGCAAGGGTTGCCTCTTCTCGTACTATGTCACATATCTGGTCAATATCTTCAAGCGAAAGCATGGAGCTTCGCTCTTTCTGTTCAAGCACAATCACCTATCAACAGAAACAAGCAACATGCCACTGCACACAGGATGTATGCCAGCTGTCCGGGAATGACAGCACCTCCAGTGACAGCTTCTGTTGCGCACCTCTCAGCTTGAAACAATGCAAGGCAACCATGGAATGTATTCTTGCTATCAAGCAGAAGGAGAAGATAACACTGACTCCAACAGATCCAATGAAAAGGGAGAAACTTGCCACCCCAATAGCAAGATCAAACAGATTGAGGACCGTGCTATGCAGGGAAAACTTGGGCAGCTGAAATGCTTGCCAATTTTCCTTGTACAAACATACCTCCAGCTTCAAAGCCAATAACTCAGCACGACTCCGGCTATCTGTGCCACGCTCCCTGTCTCTCTGTCACAGCAAACCGCTTCTCTTGCTTCCACTTTGAGGTTGCATTCGTTAAAATGGAGTAACTTGCGCAAGTGACAAAAGTATTCAGCAGCTGATGTTGGAAAACACACTCATGACTGGCACTGGCTGACCAAGTAGTAGGGCTGGGAAAGGATGCTGTTGCAGGCTGTGTCGAGCAACAGAGGCCAGACCTTAGGTTTTAGGAAAGACATTTGCAGGGAACAATAAAGCACACAATGCTGTATTGACTGCCAATCACCATCCTTGACAACTGCTGTGTTTGCACCCCACACTTGTCGGATTAAGAGCTGAGCCAGTCACTGTACCAATGCAGCTTTTGCGTGGCAGGGAACTGAGGATTGGGGTCCAGGCGCGGCTTCAGGGCTGCAGACCTGCACCCCACAGTAGCCTTTAGTGGCATCAGCTGCCAAGGTGCGAGCCTGAAGGCACAGATGTGGACGCCATGGACACCAGTAACCCGAAAGAAAACGCATGGGAGCCAGTGAACAAGCAGGGAACTCGTCCAAGTAACACCACAAGTACTGACTTCCGCCCCCCACACTGATACAGGAGCAACCACCTCTGGCGCCTAAAGATGGGCGGCATTGATGCCCAGGATGACAGGGCCAGCCATAGCGCAACATTCTTTCTTGGGGTCCCTCTTGTCCTGCAGGCCTGCCTCCTTTACCTGTTTGAAGACGTTGTAAGACAAGCCCTTGGGCAAGCAGTTTTGGTCAGGAAACAAATCGCCAAAGCCAGTCTCACCTGGCAGACACAGAAGACCCCGTGCTCAAACGCTGCACCGGCCGTCTTAACCTCGCAATTCCCAGAGGCGGTCGGCGCCCGCGGGTGTCACGGTCAGCGTGCCCGCAAAGGCCACGCGGACCGGGCGCAACGGCAACGGGCAACAGGTGGCGACGCGAACGCACGGTGTCTGTTGGGAGTTGGGTCCGAGCGCGGGACTTATAAATATCGTTCACACCAACCGCCGACAGTCAGTGGGGGAACAAGAGTAGGTTGAGCGGCTGACACGAGAGGGGTTCCCCCGTACTCGGTCAGACGCGGGGCGCAGGCGCAGTTCACTGGAGGCAGGATCCCCAAGGGGCCAATCAAGATCATGTTCGAGTCGCTCCTACACTCCTGAAGCTTGCATCAGACTGGCGACGGGGCGCCCTGGCGCTTGGGGCCCCGGCTTCATCCAGTGCCCAACCGCCATCCACAGGTCCCGACTGGAGACGGCGGGACAGAACGCGATTGAAGAGGCTTTTTGCGTCAAATCGGTCGCAAAAGAGCGCGAACAGCCAGGCCGACAGGGCGGAGCCGCCAGAGCCAGGGCGATCGCGAATCGCAAACCAAACCACCTGATGGCGGTTGATGACACGCGATTATCGTTAGCGCCTCATCGGCGCGCTGCTGCGGCGGACATCGGGCGGCAGAACATCAGCGACAGCCCCTGCCGCAACACCTACTCTTGTCCGGCGCCCGCGCCTGCCCCATACTTATTTTCGTCTTCCCGCCGACAGCAGCATTTTTGGCGCACTGGTCGGCTAGGGAGATAGGTATTGCGAGTCTGGTGGGCGAACAAGGTCGACCTACTTTTCAGCCCATGGCGGTAAAGCTGGTTGCTGAAGTGTACCGCAGCCGCCCGATTGGTCCCCGCGCAAGATGTCAACTCACATGGGTTTGGCTCAGGTTGAGCGCCGTCAACATTGCTACCAAAGCCCCCTGCGTTGACGCTTTCGTGTGTGCGGGGGCGGCGCAAGGGCCTTGTCTCAAGCCAAAATAGAGATTCGAGGCTCGTCTGGTGCGCGTACCTCTGGTGGGAAGAACACAGGACGGCCCCCACAGCGTCGTCGGCCAAGGCACAGGCAAAGCCAGGCGCCAATGCCGAATGCGGATGACGGATGGGAGGTTGCTGGAAGGGGAAATCGAAACCGCAGGCGCTCCCGGACGGGAGCTTCACAACGCGCACATGCACAGGCTGCGCAATCCAAAGGTGGGAGGCGACTCGCCTTCGTGGGTCCAGAAGTTGCAGTGTACGGATTTCTGCACCATATTGCGGATGTGGTATTCCGGCCGGAGATTGTTTTCTGCCGCGAAGTGCTCTTGGAAGCGGCGAAACTCATGGGCTTAATGAAGCCAGACTGTGGCAGTGGAAAATGGCCGGACATCCGCTCGAAACCATGCATCCTTGACCGGTGCACTTCATTCGATGCCCAGCGGAAAGTGGCGAGAGATAAGTTTGTGCCTGCACCCTTGGTTTGTTCTCGATTGTGTTGATAGTACTATCGGTGCTAGAATTCTTCTCTGGGCAGGCCTTGTTAGGAAAACGACAAGTTTGAAAGAAATCCAAAAAAGGTTCTAAATCCTGGCCACGTTGCAAATGTTGCAGTACTCTGGATTTCGATTTGCGGAAGGGCGCAACAAAATGAACCACAGAACTCCTCTATTTCAGACCAAAGATATCGATTTGTTGCGAGACCACGCAATGTTGCGTTTGGCCAATTCAACACCTCAGCTGAGTGCTTATAATTCTCTTGTAGGCCAATCACTATCGCTACTGTGTGCAGAAAGCAACTTGTGCAAATTTTGTTGTGACTAAAGAATGGGCTGGAAATGCATCATAATAGGCATGTTTCCATAGGCAAGAATGTTGTTGCTCCTTTGCCTGTGTTGTGCTGGGTGCTGAGTTCTCTTAGCTTGAGAATTCTTTTGGAGAGGAACAATGTGCCGCAATATGTTGCAGGGATTGTAAACAGCCATTCATATTGCACTCATGCTGTTTCTGCCATCAGGCTTGGCCTTGTAGGACGAAAAATTGTTGAAATACGCATGCCTGTGTTTGCTGCTTGGCAAGGCTCCAACTGCTGTTTCCAAGTAATACCAGCATTGGGAATTTTGCACAGGTTTGAGTCACAGAAGTGATTTCCTTGCTGGAGTGCACGCACTGTCCAAGACTGCAGAAAGCAAGAGTGAATCATCATGGCTGAGTGGCAAGATCAAGGATTTGAGGTGAAGTGAGCCTTGCCTGACCATCTGACAGTTCCAAGGACAGCAGCCTTTGATGTAGAGCATTGAACGTTTTGCACAGATTGGCTGAGCAACCACCATAATTGCCACTGATGCTGTATCTCTCAAAGTAGAATGCCCAATGCAACAGATTACATTTGCCAAAAGACGACAAAGCACTTCCCTTGCATCTGCTGAGCCATAATATGTATAGCTACATCCAGGCAAAAGAAGGTTTTTTGTTATGCTTTTCAGGGCAAAGCCACATGGCGCTCGATCTTTTCAGCAGAGGCATCAGCAAAATGTTCTTACTCTGAGCAATGCATGAACAGGAAGGAGGTTGGAAAGTCAACAATGTTGAGCAACCTTCAGAGCCTCTGGGAATCAATGCAAAAGGGTGATGGCTGCATCGAACAGACAATTGTTTATGGCCTGGGCTCACCACAGAAATCATCGGCAGCAAGATACCAGGTGCGTTCCTTGGAATAAGAAGTGGTAGCTGATATCCGTTGGTTTGGGAACAGTGACAGATAGTAATTAGGTGTTGGCTGCAGATACCTTACTGGACAACTGCCCTAGCCATAATGGTTGCCTTTCAATTGTTTAGAACTGCTTATTATTTGTCCATGATATTGCTCTTTTTGGCTTGTCTTTGCTTCCTTTAGGTTCTTTCTGCTTTCCGCTATTCACAATGATCTGTGGTCACTGTTTTATTGTTTAGTTGTTGAGAGCAGCGCCTGTGCTTTGAGGTTTCAGTTGTGCTTAGCTTTGGAGCTTCACAGCATGGTGGGGAGCACCACGCTAGAGGCTTTCGACCCCATTTTCACAGAAGTAGACAAAGATGTCCTGGAAAAATGTGGGGTGCATGTCCTCACCAATGACGAGGGCAGCAGGAAAAGGGTGAAGCAGATGACAATGTTCTACATGCCCCACTGCGAGGTACCCAGCTATGTTCCCGGAGCCCCCTGCCACTGGGTGCAAGCTGTGTGACAGTAGATTGCAAATTGTTTGGAGTGACTGTTATTGTATACTGTAGCACATGTGTGCACCTCTCTGTATACTCATGCAACTGTTTTGTAGATTTGCAAAGCGCCATTGCGCGCTCCTTGAAGTGTCACTGGTGTGTGCCTTGTTGCAGTTCATCGTGATTTGTTGCATCCTTTGCTGCAACCATCCTGAGCCTGCAAGATGAGGGGTGTCATTCTTTGTATTGTGGCTTTGCTATCTGAGTCACTGTATGTTGCGGTACTTTCTGTTTCCCATCCTGTGATAATATGTCAAAATATGGTGGATGTAATTGTGGCTGACCTGCTGTTGTTTTGTTTCTCCAAACATAAAATGGCGCTATACATAAGAAATGGACTTGTGCATATGCTTGTGGTATTCTAATTGGTATCTATGGTTATGGCTGTAGTTGCCATTTGTGGAATTGCTTCCAAGATATTTTCACAGTGGTCGGGCACAGACATATGCTGTGCTACGATATCACACTATCTCCATGCTCACACCCTTCTTGCTGACAGTCAAGCCACGTATCCATGATTGTCAGGATGCTATTGCTGTGTGGAAGTGAACAAGTGATCACAATGCTCTGTTTGATTGTGAAGGCGCACCTTTGTGAAAGGTTGCTGGAGGCCAATTGGAGTCCAACCAGCCTGGCAAAGTTGGTCATAATAGGAAACAGTTTTGGGCACTACCACCTTCTCTGGGATTGTGCCCCTTTCCCACAGGGGTATGACAGGCCATCGCGGATGATTGGGCTTGTGGTGGAAGGTATGCGCCAGGCAACGGACTCTCTGCCATCGTTTGTTTCTGCTGGTGTTCAAGCATGGTGTTGCTGCATCTATATGCTGGCTAGGCCCATACGCAGCTGAATGCACAATTATAGAAGATAATAACCTTGGGATGTTTAGTCCACAGACAGCAAGTACAAGGTGCAGCCCATTCCAGCACATCGATATTTATGTACCAGTACAGCTGTGTCTCCTACTCTTCAACATATTACTGTCTGTCTCACTCGAACCCATTCCACAATAAGCGGAGCTCCATTCTCATCCACAAGAGAATTTGCATTTTATGGCTTTCGGCCATTGTTGTGTTGCAGTTGTTTGCCAGAAATGGGGTTGGCACCATTGTGTGAAATGTGTTGCCTTCCGTCAAGTGGTGGGAGCATGTGACAATGGGCACCGGCACATGAATCCATGCGTGTATGTTCTACTTTGTTGTTGCTTTCAGACTGGCCATCATGATAATATGCCATTGTAGAACGTGACTGGTGAGCCGAGGCGATCTGTATCACACTCTAAGGGTATGTCATGGGGCAGGTGCTGTTACACAACTGCCTTTAGAGGAAATGGATATGGCTGCGGCAGCTGCGTTCAACGACACATCCATTCACACTTTCGATTTGAGACGACTTCAGGCCCTGCCTCAGCTCTTTGGTCAATGATTCAGCAAAATAGATTCCCTTTCTTTGTGGCACTGGCTTGGTGCCCAGTCGTTGGCACGCTCTCCATGCTGGATCTTGTTTACATACTTGCACTTCTATGGACGTCGATGGACCTTGTCAGCAACTGAGAGAAGAGAGGAAGCAGAAGACGGCTGTGAGGTCATGAATATGCTGTCGCCAGATGCGCCGGAAGGACTTCTCCACTTCTGCCAAAAACAGCAATGTAGGTTGCATTCGCCATTTTCTTGTAAGCATATCGTTGCACAGTGATGATGGTGTTGTTCGTTTTGCCAACTTGATGGCTCCACCCACCACTGCATTCCTGGATCATTCTGCCAATTCTAGACATGCAGACATGTGATATGGCAACCCGTTGTACAGGCCTACCTGGATGCTCCTTTCTCTGGGGAAGGGCCATGATGATGATCAAATCGTCAACGCTGAGCACGAGTGCATGGACTACGCTGCCGTCGATGGGACTGCTGATTGTGCGCACAGTGGATGCAGCATTTGAAATGCCATCCACGTTGAGGTGGCCGTACGCCTCAGAGGCAACCTAACGTCATCCATAAATGTCAATGATTCGGTTCAAGTGGTTTCTCCAGGTGTGAACCACTGGTTGTGACTTACTGCGTTGTGAGTGGTGCATGATGTAGGCATGAACAGCTTAACATAGGAAAGTCACCCCCACACCACGGTACAGCGCTTTTCAGATGTGCAGCCTGTGTGTTTACATGCATTGCTAGTGGGAAGCATGGGAAGCAACTATCTTCCTGACATCACCATGTTCACCTTTGTTCGAGGATATGTGAATGCTGGCAAACTAGTTCAACATTGGGCACCGATACGCGTGCACACAGGTTGTTGCGAACGCTTTCAGCGAACTGCTGGCCGAAATTGAGTGAACGGCCAGAAGCGACCAGGGCCCAGTGTGGTGCCCAGCTTCACGAGGTTCAGTTGCTGCTCTCCGTCAAGAATCTGCACCGATTGCAAGCACCATCCTCACGTGGCCAGAAAGCAGCTTGAAAGTGGATTGTCTGTGGTTAGTGCTGTGGCTGTGAGATAGGAATTGACGGGAAACAAGCGTTTCCAGTGCCCCAAAGAAAATGAATGTCGTTGCTGGCGCAAGGGTGCGATCGGTGATGAACAGCAGGCGCATATGTGCTACCTACATCGCCGAAAGGTGGCACAGGCTGTTGACATCGTGTTTATGCTGCTGGGAGCGGAGTTGGGCTTAGCGAAAGCTATGTAATTAAGGAATTCGTCATCATCATGCTACCTGTTTAAGCTGGTCTTCATTCATCTCTCTCGGACTTTCGGCTTTCCCGGCGGATTCCTTGCCCTTGTTCAGTTTGGAGGAGAACGTCAAGTGCTGTGAACTGGGCCATCGTGGCGAAAGTGTTCTGCATGCGCTGCCACACGTGTGAATTCGCGACTCGCTGCGAACCTGGTGCACACGTGTGTATTTCTCCTGAATCAGCAAGATGATTGTGAAGGTACACAGATCGCTGCCAACACTCCGGCGAAAAATCACGGGACCCAGACACTGCCGAAAGACAACTGCTGAATTAGCTTGATCCCGACCTGTTGGGATTGCGCAGTGAAGAGGCACGGAAACCTGCGGGAATCCGCGCCATCGATTTGAGCCCTGACATATAACTAGGGCTCCAAGCGCCGCAATCGTGCCCGAGAAACCAAGTTAACCCGGTGGCATTGGTCCATGCAATGAACGGCGACTTGCGGACATTCGGATGTCGTTTCGAGCATTCAGGTTGGGCTGTAGGCAAATGGCCGCCGTACCTCTCTGTGAAGGATGGATTGTTCGAGCCTTGCCTTTGCGCCCTGCATGAACGTAGTCCGCAGTCGAGGAGCGACAGAAACGGTGTCCAGGTCCTGCCTCTGCTGGAAGGGGCAGACTTTTGCGTGCTTCTACTGCATCACACAGCAATCGCGATTGGACCAGTGGACGATGCCCTGGGAGAGGTGCCTGCAGTTGCAGAGGATGCAGAACCGCCGCCAGGCTCAGTAATTGTGCCAGCAGCGTTGGCACAATCGAGCCGCTGCACGCGAAGCGGGTCGCAGCAGGTTGCTCCACGTTCACGTCGAAGAGGAATGAATACACGCGTAGTTCCAGTTTCTTGGACCCATGGAGACAAGGTTGTCCTGGTGGGCATACTTACCGTACTTGCCTGCAGCCAGGGCCTCCAAAGTGCGCAACGTACAGCCAGTCCAACCTAAGCGACGCAAGCGAGAAGCTCGTCATGCTTCATAAAGCATTGCCGTCTTGCGGGTTGACGAGGGCCATTCTGCACATACGGATTGTTCGATGGTTGCCTATGGCCGTCGTTAAGTTGGAACTCTTGATGTTTTGGTGAACCAAGCTGCAAGTCACAACGCCGGGTCGATGACAGCATCGAACGCAACATCTTTAATCGGTGAAGTTCTGTGGAGATGCAGGTCATTTCTCAGTAGAACAAATTGCGCTGTGGAGGTGTGCACTGCTTACATGGGAGCCTTCTCCACCATGGATGCCATGATGATTTCAACGGAGGAGTGCAGAGCAGACTTTAGCGCCACCTCAAAGCGTGTTTCATCGAGATTTAAGGCGCCTGATTGCACTTCCAGATCGTCTGAAGAGGTTCTGGATAGGGCGTCGAGAAAAGTCTGCGCAACATAGCAATGCAGCTGCTGCTGACGTCATGATTGTCGAAAGGGTCACGCCGCTATCCATGAATTTGAGTCCCTGAACTGAAGGTCGCCGGCACCACTCAGAGATTCTGAAAGGCAGTCGGCAACCTTGGTTGTGGCTGTATTTCCGCATGATGTAGAAATTACACACCATGTTTAGAGGGTGCGAGCTAGCTCTTGCGCTCCGCTCTGTCTCTCTTTTTGTGCATCAGACGGTGGGTCCAGCATGGAAACTACCAACTTTGGCCCAAATGGCGTAGCAGCGTAAAGTGACTCAACGCCAAATCTGCGTATTTCGAGAACTTGGGGGGGGACACAGCCAATCCCAATATTCAGAGGGGACCGTGCCATTCATAAGTGCATACTTTCATTATCAAAGATACAGTTGTCGCCAATCTCTGTTCGTCAAGGTTTGTGCTGTCCAGGTTCCCATCTTTGGCTAGGCAGTCAAGGGAGCGGGGAAATCGTTGGCCAGCAAGGCAAGTTGCGGCTCCAGCCGAGGGGCGTTGGCCCCTTTGCCAGCTTCAAAAATTGCGTCGCTGCACTTCTGGATGTGCCCATTTCGGATCGCCGCAACCTCTGTCCCAATTCCAAGGCACCAGAAGCTTCGCTGTACTGCCGTTCAGTACAGTTGGTCTTTGTTTCCATTGTGGGACATTGCGGGACAGAGTCCTGTCGGAGACCGTGAGCATGGCAAAAAACGCCATCCCACCAAGGAAAGCTGACAGGCAGTGCAACAGTTTCCGGCGATGTTTGCGGACAGCGATCGCTGCACATTCGCTTTCGAACGGCCCACCTTGTTCGCCGTCTCAGAGCGCTGCCTGGCGGCCATGTACGCACGGCTACGCTTCAAATATACGGCGGAGGGCACAGTGTGCTGAGAAATAGAATTTACCCCAGAAGCAGCGAATTGTCGACATTAATCCCAAGCCACTTCATAGGCCAAATACGGCATTTTTTTGCCCTTTCAGTGCGCGATGGCTGTGAAGGGGGGGAAAACAAACAAGCTGCTTTTAATAAATGGTTCTAACTATGCGGTGACTGGACATGGCGAAATGAGTATGGAGATACAGTGATCACTAGCTGAGTATACTTGAAGTACTTGCTACTTGATTAGCGTGCTTGTCCTGTAATGCATCCGGGTGAGGCTTTGCTTCCCGTGCCTGGGAGCGACCGTGTGTGAAGGTTTGGTTTTCGTCTCCATGGCTACCAAAGAACACCAGCTACTTGGATGCTTGTGCCATCAGAATGGCAAAAAGAGTCATTGGCAATATTGGCACCATTGGCAGCAGTTGATAATAAAGCACACAGTGCCTGTGAAGGTACAATGAATGGCTCATATTGCCAGCTTTCGGTTTAGTTAATTGGGTGTTCAAACGACCAAGTTCTCTTATGCACACATGATTATCACCTTACGTGAAGCAGTTCTCTACCGTCGAGGGCATTGAAGGGACGCTGCAACGCCAGAAGGCCCATCATAGCTCCATCTGAAGTGTGTCCAAAGTGCAAGACAGTGCGTCCGGTCGAAAGGAGCTTCAACGCAGAACTCTTATTCCGCGAGTTACCGGAAGAGCCATTCACGAATAGCGCCTCTCTTGCCTGGAGCATGCCGCATCATATATTGGTAGCTGAGCATTTGTGTCATTGTTCATCAGATATAGAGAATATAATCTTTATGATGGCAATCAATGCGGCAATCGTCAAAACACTGCTCCAAGCGTTCAACATGTCTCAACCTTTACCGTACAGCTACAGCTGACTTTTGATATTTTGAAGAAGCAATGGCGTACATTAATTTGTCCTCGGGGATTTCCCAGAGTTGTTTCGAATGCTCAAACACTGGTGCAACACTTCGAGACTGTGAGGATTGCCGTAAATGTGCAGCAAATTGTGGTGGGCTGCGGGGCTGTCTCATTAATGGCTTGCTGCGATCCGCTGAGTGTCACTGTGGGCGCATCTCACGTGCAGATCCGCAGCCAACATCCCAGCTGCCAGGCATCTCATGTCCATTTGCAGAACAGCACTGCCAGTTCCTTCGTTCGTGGAATCCTGCCGTCGCAGTTAACAACAGAAGAAAACCTTATTCTGATGCGCAGAAGTAACACTGGCGCTTTCTATAGGGTGGCAAAATGACAACGCTTCAGGCAACTTGGCTGTTCCAGCCACGCTGACAATGTGGTCGTCGTGATGTGAAGGACTTGCTTTCCGAGGTTACGTTGCACAACGTCAGTGCCCGTATTTGGCATTTCCTTTTGGATTTGTGGGAATATTCGGATACATACAAAGCACACATACTTTGTACAGGCAAGCAAGTTTGCTTTGCATTGAGAGTAACTATTGAGACGCAGGCCTGACGTACTGTCCCAAATTTGGCTGCGGCACCTTAGAGAACACGCAAGCGCCCGATCGGGTAGAAACCAAGGCTGCACCTATCACCCCGCGATGTTCAGCCATATCTTCAGGTGTCGCCGCCACGCATCACCAAGGAGCTTTGAATCAGCTCGTTGCTTTCTGGTCTCGCAACAGAAAACAACGAGACATAATGAAGCTTCCTTTTTCAGCGCGGTGGAGTTTTAAGATCCTTTTTCCCCGTGGCTTCGCTCAATGCTCCAGAGAGACCTACACACGGCGATTGCACATGACACAGTGATGGGTATATTCTGTCACACTTGTATACGCTGAATGAAGAGAACTTGAACAGTTTTGCAATCCATGATGGTGTATTGATATCACGTATTTTCTTTATCGAGAGACTGATGCTGAACTTTAATCTTTGCAAATTTGGAAAAACATCATGGTGGACCAATGGCCCTATAGAATCTGTAGTACAGTTGACAAACTGTCATTCCAAATGTCGGCAACACTTTCCAGTGCGAGGTGTACGGCCTCGAGAATCCTTCATTTACAGATCTACATGTTGCTACTGAGAAACAGGACAAACCATGTCCATGACCACCGCAAAAGCATTCCGTTTATCATGCGGACAAATCTGAGCCTTTCGGAACCGCACCCTTGTCAAGTAGAAGAAATCCAACCCTGTCGATCATTCTTCAGTCCAGCTGACTGACAGCAGTGATGACAGCAGTGTTTTCTTCGGTTCGCATGTCGATGTTACGCGCCTAGTCAAGAAGCTCGGCTCTGGCATAATCCACATGGGAGTCGCTTTGCTAAAACACCTTATGTTTGGGCCACTTGTCAGCCGTTTGACTCCATGCATTCCTGTTGACCTTTCGACAGCTGACGTAGCTTGGCTGCTCCAATTTAAGTGATACTGCTAATGGAGAACATCTTTGTGCAAACAGACTTTGGCAAAATCGCGATATCTGCAGTTTGCAATGAGTACAGTTTCATGGTGATGGCAACTTCCAGTCAATGGCTTCTAACCAATTGAAATGAGGTTGGAAGGCTTGAGGAACTTGAATTTATTGGTTTGCAAACGTGGGAAATTATGGAGAATCTTTGGAATATATTGTGTGTTTTCTACATTCAAATTATTATCCGCCAAATTGGCTGCTGATTGCATCACGAAATATTGCACGCAAACAGGTAGCCGCAAGCGAGCTACTTTACTGGAAGGGAGCTATCATTCTCTGCACATTTACCGAATTGTTCTTTGTGATTACGCACACATTTAACTTTGAGAGGGTTTGAATGTTGCCCTCCATCCCTTACGTGATCCAATGCCCCACGCGTATGTTCGCACAACGAAAGCACTGCAAACAAAACGCTAAGCTAGCACCAGCATTGAAAACCACCCATGTCCAAGACTACAATTTATTGTTCATCTTCGATGCCTCACGCCCATTTCCCGATAAAGGGAACGAAGGGACTGCGCACTGTCGAATATCGGGTTCGGCAATTGAAACGGCGTCCAGACATTCCACGAACTGTACAGGCTTGCCAGATCGAAGGGGCGCAACATAATGGTTGCATTCGTGCATTTGTTGCTGAAACGATCGCCCACTCAGAAGATGGCGATCGTTGAGAAGCTTGAAGTGAACATACAGGGTCCGCGGTGCCACTGCTTGGGAAACCTCCCTGCAATGGTTCACGACAAAACCACCTGCTCTTCGACCAAGGCAGCGCAATCACACGGTCCAGCTGCCACTGGCCAACTCGGGCCTGTTCAAGAATATTTGTCCGGGTCACGCCTTCTTGGTTCGACTATAGTTCGATCATGGATTTGCGCTGCCGATGTTGGTGCCAATCCAAACACATGTCTTCCCACTTCGCAAACACCCACTGCCATTTTCAGCAACGCTACATAGCGGATAGATTCACCACACAAACACGCATTCATGTCCCTAAGACTCTTCAACATGCTCCCCAACAAAACTTGAGCAAGAAACGCACCCGCATAGCCCACCAATCACCGTTTTGGCGGACACCAACCACCGCTAATGCACGAGACAGCGAAAAGCCACCCCCCATCACTCGAGAGCTGCCAATTACAATGACATGGTGCAGGGTCTGCGTCTGACTGAATCCACGTCTGCGTCTGACGCCTCTTTCCAGAAAACTCGGGTGAAGACCGAGCTGAGGGGCCACACAGACAGTTTGCCAGTGAAGCGGTGGTTGCCATTTCCCGTCTTTTGGTGGGAGGACACCACGTCAGCATGTCTACGTCACGCATTCCTCCCACACTCCACAACCACGAAACTGCCACATCTTTCACGGCGCCCGTGTGGCCCGTCGCGTCGACGCACCCAACTCGCGGCGTCAGGTGGCGCCAGACCAAGGGCTCGGCGGCCAGCCCTTCTGCGAACGCCGCGTGGTGGTTCGCTCCCCGCCGCAACGGTCTTCGATATTCGTCCCGCGGCGGAGCGGCCACAATGGACGTTGGGCATCAAATCCATGTGGACGCAATGGGCGTCAGCGCCCTGTCCGCGCGGGGGCAGCAGATTGGGGCCAGTCACAGCGCCGCACACGCTGCTGGAAGCCGTGCTGTGATGGGACCTAAATGTAGAGAGCGTGTGAGGGAACGCCGCGGCCATGTCCGCCGCCGCAGGATGGCCATTGGGGCGTCGGTTTCAGACCTGAAGAGCAAGACGGAGACGTTCGTTGAGAATCTGGTGGAGGATGATGTGGAACCTGACCAAGAGGACGATGAACTGGCGGATATGCGGTCGTCTCTGTCCCGCTTTGAAGCAGAGGTGCGATACCACCTTCCGCAGTGTTGATGGGAGGACGTCCTTGCCGCCACGCGACGGACGTTTGGAAGGCAACCGTGGAATGGCGTTGACAGGAGATTCTTGGCATAGCCTACGAGGCGAAATATCTGACCAGAAAACGGCGGAATTGCCTCTGATCGTTCGGTTAGGGTGACCGATGTGCGCAATGGATGGCACCAGTGGCTGACGCTGGGTGGGACACTCCTAGGGTATTAAGGAAACCCAGAAACATTCCTCCAGATAGCGCTACAGCACAGAAGTTGTGCTTGGGCGCACCTCAGTGACGAATTCAACGTGGGATGCAGGCAGCCATTGCAATCTGCTCACGGATGTGGCGACCTTGCTGGGCATTGGAACGTTGTACTTCTCCACGGCTGTGGATCAGCCGATCTACTGCTGGTCTGACTGGTGCAACAGCCCCATGAAACACACTTCCAACACCGATTGATGAAAATATTGCTTGCGGTTTTGAGAAGGCTTTTCTTTTAGTTTGGAATGTTGCCACAAAGCAGTGTGGACGTGATGGTGCAGGCCCAGGAAGTGCAGTCGAAGATCGACACTCAATACAGGAAAATGTTCACAGGGAGAGTCGTTCGCCTGGAGGAACGAAAGAAACCATACAAAGTGGATGTGAAGAATGAGGAAGCATTTGCACAACTGGGCAAGGACGAACCAAAGGTGAATGCAGTTAGAAAATGATTTTAGAAACATATGGACTTCTCTGGCAGCCATTGTGGAAGAGCATTTGCTTGACATGGGCGATGACTGACTTTGGCAACCAAATGGTGGTGGTTTTATGCTCAATGGAATGAATTTGTGGATCGCTTACAGAGCACATGTGAAGCGCTACTGTTTGCCCTGAATATTGGCCTCCTTGACAGGTATACTGGGCTAAACTCGGCTTCACCGATGCACATATTTCTTTAATCCACATGGGAATGTAGTTTGCTGATGCGTGAGCCACAACTGGCTTGCAACCTCCACAATACCAAATATTGGTTTTGCTTATGCCATTGTTACCAGCAGGCAATGCTTTGATCCCAACACATTGTTGTGTCACGTTCCTTTAGGTGATGCAGCGCATGCTGTCAGATATATCCAAAGCCAGTGCGAACAAGTGGCGCCTATTCCAGTCAGATATTGTGTCCCTGAAACTAGTGAGGACACGGCTTGACCGCCAGATTGAAGAACTCTCCACAGCAATCGCTGCTGCTGAGCGTAAGGCTGCAGTTCGCGAGGTGGCGATGGGGACTGAGGAGTCTGATGAACCATCGACGTCGGACTTGGGGTCAGCAGCAGAAAAGGGGCCCCTGCAGGGCAAGAAGAGCATGAGGGTTGTGCTGGTGACTGGCTTGGAGTCTTTTAATGGAGATTTGTACGAAAGGGCAGCAAGGGAAGCCTCGGAGCGCTGCCCGGCCATAGCAATTGACGTATTCAATGACCGGGACATTGGGCTCCAGCCAGAGAAGTTGGAGGCAGCGCTGCAGTCTGCAGATGTGTTCTTTGGCAGTCTGCTTGTCCAGTATGACGAGGCAGAGTGGCTGAAGAAGCGCATCGGCCACATCCCTGTGAGGTTCGTCTTTGAGTCAGCACTGGAGATAATGACAGAGACCACTGTGGGATCATTCAACATGTCAGGTGGCAGCCGTCCAGGCGCTCCCCCAGCAGTCCGAAAAGTGCTCTCTCTCTTCGGCTCCAAGCGGGAGGAAGACCGCATGGTGGGCTATCTGTCCTTCTTGAAGATTGGCCCCAAACTGCTGAAATTTCTACCAGGGTCTAGGGCCCGGGACCTGCGGACGTGGCTCACAGTCTACAGCTACTGGAACCAGGGAGGGCAGGAGAACATGGTGTCCATGTTCATGTACATGGTGGAACAGTTCCTGGGCCCTTCTGGCGTAACAGCAAAGCCTGTTGTGGAAACACCCACCACTGGGTGCCTGCATCCAGACTACCAGGGCTACTTTAGATCGCCAAGGGAATACATCAATTGGTACACTAAGAGTGGCCCGAAAGAGACAAGGGATGCACCAGCTGTTGCAGTTATGATCTACCGCAAACATGTCATCACTGGCCAGATGTATGTCAGGCAGCTCATCAGGCTGTTAGAGCAGGAGGGTCTGAAACCCATCCCAATATTCATCAATGGAGTGGAGGCTCACACGATCGTTAGAGACCAGCTCACATCTGCAGACGAACAAGCCCTTGTCAAGACTGGAAAGCTGAAGAATGCGACACTGAGGAAGGATGCTGTTGAGGTGAGCAAACACTGGTTGCCATCTCTTGGGTTCACTGACTGTAACATTTGCATCCCAAAGCAAATCCTTCTGGGCTGCTTCAACTATGGTTGCGCGATCGGATTTGTGTACTTTGTTGCAAGTTTCAATACTGCCAATGGGGATCGCCTCTCTAGTCTTGTTAGTCATTGGCGCATTCGGTTGCCCTGCTTCCATGGCCCCAATCGTGAGACGTTGGTCAGCTGCTGTTGGAAGAAGGCGCCTGTGTTTGCACTTGTGGGTGTGCATCTGGGTGCACCTTGCAAATGCAAGCATCCACCTGTTGTGACACAGTTGGCCTTGTTCTTGTAGGTCAACGCTGTGATCAACACCATTGGATTTCCTCTTGTTGGGGGACCTGCTGGAAGCATGGAGGCAGGCCGACAGCAAGATATTGCAGCTGCCATCCTGGCCTCCAAGAACATTCCTTATGTCATTGGGGCGCCTCTGCTGGTGCAAGACTTGGGGAGCTGGATGCGGGATGGCATAGCAGGTGAATCCTGATTATAGCATGGAAAAATGTGTCAAATTACTTGTGCCCTGAGGAGAACTCCTATCGCATTGCCAGCTGCTTATTTGCATGCTAAACATGTCTTTGCTGAAACATCATGTGCCAGTTCTATCTGACTCTATGCTGTGGTCTGTCCATGGCCCAATATTCGGCATGAAGGTCTGCAATCTGTCGTTCTCTACAGCTTGCCTGAGCTGGATGGGGCGATTGACACTGTTCCTCTGGGGGGCCTTGTTGGTGACAACATCTTCCTCATTCCTGAACGTGTGAAGCGCCTGGGCTCTCGGATTCGGAACTGGATCAAATTGAGGCAGACCCTACCTTCAGAGAGGAAGGTTGCGATACTTGTGTATGGATTCCCTCCTGGTGTTGGATCGACAGGCACTGCAGCACTTCTTAATGTGCCAAAGTCCTTGAAGACTGTCTTGCTAGAGTTGAAGGCACAGGTGTGTTGCATCCTTGGTACAGCATACAGCATCACAACATTCGTTCTCATTGAATGTTGGATCACTGTAGAAGAGTACCTTCCCGTTGGTCGATGGAGTATTGGCCCCATGTGTCCAAAACGCCTAGGTGCTTTGCTGATTCGTAGCTGACTGGAGTTCCAGCTGCTTGTACTTTGTGGAGAATACGATGGTCCTTCTGTTGGGTGGACTGGCAACGTTATTCTTGCCAACTGGGGCCTTGAGGTGCCAGCATTGGCCATGAGCACAAGCTCAATGCCGACAACTCGGCTCCCAGAATGGCCATCGCTGTTGGCATCTCGAATGTGCTTGTGGCCATCACGTTACCAAGCAATGGACGCATTACCACGCGTTGCAATATTTGCTCTGCACATTTTTGATAGACCGTTATTTTGGGCCCTCCAGAATCATGGCCACAGAAGGAATGGGGAGTTCCCCCTCAGTGCACATGGCCCCTAACACCGGTTTTCACAACAGCGACTCATCCTTCCATGGCCGCTAGACGTCATGAGCACTTCAGAGACCCTTGCATCGCGGCTGGTGCAGCTCCACATTTTGTTGGTACCATCACATTTTTGTTATTGCTCCGCACAAAAAGGCCCAACGTTATGTGGAAGGGCGTGATGTACTATGGTATATATTCACCATTGCTTCCATGCTAGTACTGCAGTCCCTTGACCATGGCCTGCAGGGAAGAACAACAGAGTGCATGCTGTCCCCACAATACTGCTCACCTGCTGAGACAGGCTGCAATCACAGTTGATGTTTCTGCTCGATAGCTACTTTTTGCCATTGCAGCAGGAGTTATGGAGATGCAATCCGAAGAGCGAACAGCCACCATCAAGAGTGGTGGACTGTGCTTTGTGGACGACAGTGGGTTCTCCATGTTCTTGTAGCCCAGGATGTTTGTGAAGAGCACTGAAACTACCTTTCTTCGTGAACATAGGGATATGATCTGGGAGATTTCTCTGATGACATTGATGAAGAGACAATCATTACTGCCCTTAAGCGGCAGGAAGATCAAACTGCAATATTCAGAGGTGCTGACGGGATCAAAAAGATTGGGGTCGGTCAAGCTGCTGAGTACGGAGCTCAGCCATTGGCTGCAGAGATCAACCCCAGGCAACTGCAGCAGATGCTGACATACCCCCGGGAATGGGGACCCAGCGAATGGGGACCCATCCCTTTTCTTCCAGACAATGATATCCTGTCCAAGAGATTAGAGAAGCAGTGGGGGGACATGACCCGCTACAGGTACATCAACTCGAATAGCCGAATCTTGTACAATCCATCTGTTGTATGTGGCAACTCAATTGCGTAGCAGCCTGCTTGAAGGGTGCTGCAGGGTGCACTTCCTTCACTGTGAATGCAGTGTAATTTTGGGATGAGGTCGCAGCCATCTGTTCTGACTACAAAATGCTGGTGGTACTACACATCGTGACTGATACAGCCATGCATTTTCTCCTTTTGGACAGAGGCATCGCCACATCCGCTGAGGGCAACCTCCTTGTCAACGGCTTGCGATTTGGCAATGTCTTCATTGGTGTTCAACCTGTGCTTGGAGTGGAAGGGGACCCTATGCGTTTGCTCTTTGAAAGAGACTTGACGCCCCACCCCCAGTATGTTGCCTTCTACAAATGGTTGCAAGAGGATTTCCAGGCGGATGCTGTGTTGCACTTTGGGATGCATGGCACGGTTGAGTGGCTTCCAGGAGCACCCCTGGGGAACACGGGGTTCTCATGGTCAGACATTCTCTTGGGCCACCTGCCCAATGTGTATGTGTACGCCTGCAATAACCCATCGGAGTCGATCATTGCAAAGCGGCGTGGCTATGGCACTATCATCTCCCACAATGTTCCTCCTTATGGACGTGCGGGCCTGTACAAGCAGCTCGCTGAGCTGAAGAATCTTCTGGCAGAATTCAGGTGCGTATCCTTGTTGGAGCTCCAGGCATGCTGAGAGTTGTGGCAGCAGTCTTTCAACAAGCAAATTTGTGTGCCCTACTGTTTTCTGTTGTGTTCGACATCTGGTGTAAACGACCTGGATGGCTTGGGTGGGTCAGACTGTGAATGCAACCTCAAGAGTACCTAATACAAGGTGTGCCTTTCTTAGAATGGCACTGCAAGTAGGTAACGTCATGCATAACCTATTGGTCGAAATGTCTTTTGGTGGCCAAGAGCCCTACTGCCAGCCTGAGCACTGCCCCAAAAGGCCGTTCAAGGGATTCAATCACTCAGTTCCAGTCCATTCTAGTGTCGATGGTTATGTCATGCTCTTGATTGCTTTTGTCAGAAAATGACAATCCTCATAAAAATGGAATGAGGATGAGGGGGTTGTTCGTGAGGCTGGTGACTTGTTGATGAGGGCTGCTTCACATGCAGGTTTGGTGCTGCCTTGGTGTGCACCTGAGATCTGCGCACTCACGTGCTTCTCGTGGGCTTTGTTTGATGCAGAGAAAATCCAAGAGACGAGAGCTCAGCTGCTTTGAAGGGTCCTATCATTCAGAACTTGAACAATGCAGGCCTCCAAGACGACTGCCCCTTTAGGCCACCCACCGAAAATGGGGATGCTGCTTTCAAACTGACAGAGGAAAATGTTCTTGAGGCCGATGTTGAGGAATTTGAGGAGTACGCTGGTCGCCTGTATCAGTACCTCCAGGTGGGCCCCGGCTGGATCCCAACATGGCAGAGGTAGATCAACATTTGGATTCCAGTTTGTGACTGACACCCAATTTTCATTGCCAAATACATGTTTTCAGTTTGTGGGGTTGCTGGTGTTAGGTATTGGAGAATAGGTTGTTCTCAGAGGGCCTGCATGTGCTGGGAAGGGAGCCTTCCCCAGAACAGCTGACACAGTACCTGTCAGCATACTTCGGGTCCGACCTGCCGGAAGAAGCTGTCAGTGCCGTGGTGGACACAGGCAGCAGTGGCGTTGATGTAGTCAAGGAGAAGCTGATGTTGAATGGAACTACGCCAGAGCTGTCTCAGAAGATCAAGGAAGCAGTGGACATCAGGAACCTCCTATCACAGAACACTGAAGAGATTCGTCAGCTTGTTCGTGCACTTGATGGGCAGTTCATCCCTGCAGCCCCAGGTGGTGACCTGCTGCGTGATGGTGCTGGTGTCCTGCCAACTGGCAGAAACATCCATGCAATGGATCCTTACAGGTACAGTGTCACAGATGGATGTGGCAATGCAACCTGGCCCAGGATTTGGTCGCATTTGCACCAACAGCAGGGCAAAAGTACATACATGCAGTGTTTCAGTTTGACATTTACAGTGCCCAGCATATGATAGGCCTGCCCATGTGCTGGAGTATTTGGTAATCCATCATGAACGACCTTGCAAGTCAGTGAGTCAGTGGGACAGAAATGCGGACTGCTTTGTCATGAAGTCTGTAGGGAACGATGAACTGCAGGCAAGCATGTCATAATGCACACTCAGCAATCGCAGCCAGCCCATTTCTTGCCCATTTTGAACAACTCTTGCTGGATTCCTTCCATTTTTGCCAGGTGCTCTGTTGTTGATAAAAACAGATAAAAGTAGATGTGGTCTGCTGGAAAGTGCAGTGCTTGATGTGATTCATTGCCATTGCTGATTTTGTAGCAATTTTTGTGACAAGTTTTCTTTGAGGGCTATCTGCTCTCAGATTTGCAGACCACCCCAGAGTGGTGGTTGTTCTGATGAGCTCTTATCGTAGCCTGCCGATCGTGTACTGATTGCAAGGATGCGTTGGAGCTTGAATTCACCAAATGTCTGCTTTCCAATTCGCAGAATGCCAAGCCCTGCTGCAGTGGAACGTGGTCGTGCAGTTGCAGAGGCAATTATTCAGAAGCACATGGCAGAAAATGATGGTTCATGGCCGCAGACATTAGCAGTAAATCTGTGGGGATTGGATGCCATCAAGACCAAAGGAGAGTCGGTAGCCATTGTCCTCCACCTGATTGGTGCCAGACCTTTCCAAGAGGAGATGGGCCGTATCGCTCGCTTTGAACTTATGCCACTTGAAGAGTTGGGTCGACCCCGTGTGGATGTGCTATGCAACATGAGTGGCATTTTCAGAGATTCTTTTCAGAACATCGTTGAGCTGCTGGATGATGTCTTTCAGCGTGCCGCAGCTGCAGATGAGCCTCCAGAGAAGAACTTCATTCGAAAACATGCTCTGGAGATGGAGGAACAAGGTGGGTGGTGGGTGCATGTTGCATGCAACTTGGCTTGAATCAGGGTTGCGTTCTGTTGGGGTGGGATGGTTGTGGATGTATGGGCGCCTCAATCCTGATCTTGTGTTGATGTGTCCAAAGAAAGCTTGATGGAGATAGCGCTACTAGCATTTTGGCCGTGGTCTTAAAAATTGCAGCGTCATGGGCGCCTTTTGCTATGCCTTTGCAACCAGAGCTGCCTTCAGTGCACAGTGTATGAGTGGTTGCATGTGCTGCACAGGCCTTGAAAACACTGGGGCTCGGCTGTTTTCAAATCCAGCAGGAGACTATGGCTCCATGGTGAATGAGAGAGTTGGATCGTCTGACTGGGAAAGTGGTGAAGAGCTGGGCGGCACTTGGGAATCAAGGAATGCTTTCAGCTATGGCCGAGGACAGGAAAAGGGCACTGCAAGGCCGGAGGTTCTGAAGGCCTTGTTGAAGACAACTGATCGGATAGTGCAAGAGATAGATTCTGTGGAATATGGCTTGACAGATATCCAGGTGCCAATCGCCAGTCCAGCAGTAGATAACTGTTCATCAAGTGCTGTGGTCGATTGCGATCGATATCTTTGCATTCATTGATTTGTGGCACTCCTCAGGCGACAACAAAAGATTACATTACACATTGGATTGGCTGTTGGTGTTGCATCATAACATCCTTTGTTGTTGTACCTGAAGGGGCTCCTTCACTACGATCAATTTGCTGACAATTTGTGCTCCATGTGCTTGGTCCTCACAGCAATGCAAACAACGCCTCTGCCTGGTGTCTGAGTTGTGATTTTGCTGATGTGGTACTTTCTGCAGGAGTACTATGCCAACACTGGTGCATTGAAGGCAGCAGCTGAATCAGCTCGCGATGGTGATAAGGTTGGCTGCAGCATCGTGGAGACATTCAGCAAAGATGTGAACCCCAGAGAACTCGATGATGTGCTGCGAATGGAGTACCGCACGAAGCTTTTGAATCCAAGGTAAGCCCATGGAGTTGTCCAGCATTAGTAACACATCTGTCCCTTGTGTGGTGCTGTGAACCAGTCTATTTGCTGTAACATGGCCAGGTGTCACAATGAATGTCTAATGCATCAGCACTGGCCAATGAACATGGCTACAACAGGTCTTGCGAGGTTGACCTGTGATTGGCTGATGAGCTTGTCAGACAGCAATGGGGCCCATTTGCTTAGATGATTCACTAAGCATGCATTTCAGTGCAATTCAAGGAGGCAAATCTGTGGATGAGTATTCCAACCCCTGCAAAGGGGTTGTCTGGTGCGCACATGTGCATGGTGAACTGCTGACTTGGATGTTGCTAACTTTGCTGTTGCTTTTGTCCAGATGGGCACAAGCGATGGCAGATCAGGGCTCGGGGGGCGCATATGAGATATCCTCAAGAATGACAGCTATGGTGGGGTGGGGAGCCACAAGCGGATTTACCGAAGACTGGGTTTGGGATCAGGCATCGGAGACATATGCTCTGGACGCGGACATGGCCAATAAGCTGAGAGAAGCTAACCCACAGGTAGTAGCCGTGCACAGTAGATGGAAAATGGTGCTGTCGAGAAATAGCGTACTGTGGTTATATGCCAACCTGCGATCGCCTGTTCACTGTACTGATGGGACCCCTGGCGCATCTGCGACCATACGAATCATGCGATGGCAGGCTGGAATATTTGATAATACGCTAACATGCGACTGCATTAATGAGCGTAGGACCCCATGAGTACACAGCCAGTTGTCATATCACCTGGGGCGTGGCGGTGCCGGTCTGCCACATCCCCTAATCGGAGGCTGATGCACGAAAGGTGACTGCCACATTGGCAGCCGTATGAGCTTGTGAGCATCAATATGCTGTTGAACACCGACAGTAGTAATGGTTTGTCGTCACCCAGGCTTATGATATCCTGAACAGCCCATTATTATCCCATTATTCTTATCGTCCATCCGTATGCCCTGAGCGCCCCCTCTTCTCTTGGACAGGCCTTTCGCAATGTTCTGCGGCGTATGCTGGAGGCCGCAGGAAGGGGCATGTGGAATGCGGATAAAAACACTGTGGAGCAGCTACAGAAGATGTACTCGGACATTGAAGACCAGCTGGAAGGGGTGAACTGACGCAGTGATGTCCAAGGCAGTTGATGTGATGAGGAGGTTCTCTGGCATGTGCTCTTGGTTTCAGTACACCAGTGCAGACTTTGACGTTGTGTCACATGTAGGCCCGTGCGCAACCTGCGCAACTAGACTATTGGGCCCTTTTGCCAATGTAAGCATTGAGTGAGGGAGCCATGTTCGGATTGGCACTATTAAAATCACATGTGGTCACAACGAACAATTGCGAACTTCTTGCCATTCCCACTAAACAGGACGTTGGCAGACTAGCGACTTTCTTCAGTGCGGGAGTCAGGATTGTGGCGCGCTGATCATCTTGTAATGCAAGAAGTGTTGTTTGTGCATCGGAAGATATAGCTGTTGAGCAGGTGTCGTTCAAGGGCAAATGTTTCCTGGTGCTGCGCACCACCGCCACGATGGCCTTTACTTGCAAGCTATAGCTCTGACCCCCAACTGGATCCCCGACGCTGCCTTCATGTGTGATGATGCGTGGCGCACTATGCCGTAATAGCCAGGCTTGTTTTTTTACGTTTTTACGCTTTGCCACGTAAAAACACAAACAAACAGAAGCGGCTGTTTTACAGCCATATTCACATATATTCAGAGCGCGTTGGGATCCTCAGGTTACATGATGAAGTCGCATACAACGATGAGTCCTCCGCCCCCTTGAGCAAATGCAACACCTCGCCCTCGCCCTCGCAAGGGCAACAGCGTCATCGAACATACGTTCGTTTTGTGCCCACATCAGCACGTCTGGCTTCCACTCTCCAGAGTCCCCTAGTCTGTGTATACTGTCTTTTATGTACACGGGACCTGTAATTACGTATTTTTAACATATTTTGCGCACAAAAACGCAAGTACGATCAAAATAACAATCCTGATGATAGCACCACTGAATTAATTGTTACAGGACGGGTACCCTGGCGTAGGTTTAGCGCTGCAGCTTTCCAGGGTGCATACACATATTGCTGTTCTGGAGTGCTGACAGCAAAGGGGTATGGGTATGCGATTGATCCACTTCTTTTCCGCGACTGCATTAGCATCCCTTACAACCATTCAGCCAGTACTGCATATCCTCGGGACGGCTTGAGCAACATGCAGAAAAAAGAAATTTGGGGGGCCTGCAGTACTTGACGGATGTTGTTTTTGCGTGCAGCGCTAGCTTCCCCATTTAGCATACCATGGCGATGAATGAACGATATTAGCGCAGATGGAAATATAGAACTGTACGCCGATGGTATTTTCCTCCAAAATGCCGTTCCTGAGCTGAGGACGCTTATTGTAGCATAAAATGAAATCGCAATTCTTTGAGTATGAAAGGAATTTGCAGTACACCTCGTGTAGTTGCCTGGTCGACCCAGCAATGGGCAAGAACAGGTTGAACAGGTTGTTCATTTTAGTAGAGCGACTAGTACTTAGGGTTGCAGTACAGAAATCCTTGTACTCGTCATGCTATTTTATTCTGGAAGTTGCTTGCATAATCGCCTTGAATCGTGGTGTCGGCATAAGCTCTACGGTCTGTCATCTCGGTGCCGAGGTGCCATGCCTGGCATCTGTCGGCGACTGCCACAGAGGCGCGCCGACCTACCACATCTTTCCTCTTGCGGCACTACGAATGTCTTGCAAAATCGCCGCACAACGCAGTGATGACCAATCTTGCAACGTATCATAGCGCAGCAAGCGCACGGCCCTCCAACCGAAACCGTGCACCACCAGCGCACTCCCATTTTACATCCCAGCCCAACACGCCGCGAACTGCAGTACACGTAGGCTGTACTACTGCTCAGGCTGGGAACGGATGCCCAGTCTCGCCTGCCCTTTCAGAGGCACCATCAAAGGTCGCGCGACACACTGGATCCAGTTTCCGCTTGCCGTCTTGTAGGCGATGGGTCGTGGTGTGGCCCCACTCTGCTCTGTACAGAGCAGAATCGCGTGTGATTCGTGCTCCATCCCAGCGCGCTGAGGCAGTCTGATCGGCCGGCCCGCAGAGGATACATCAATACCATGAAGATGACTAACGCCTTGAAAACAAAATCGAGCACAGCGCAATTTGGGCCTTACAGATTCGGGCGCAGTTCTCAAGGGTGCCCTGCCCCCCAGGTCGCACAACGCCATTACAATCGTGCCCAAATAAACAACGATTGTCATCTATTTGGGCTGCGTCAATTTGCTCCAGTGCGTACGCCGCCTGGTATGGTCCAGCATGTTACTTCGATGAACGACCGCCTGTCCATGCAGTCTGAAGGCTCGAATTGCACTGCTACCAACACTTCAGATGTGACAGACACCCAGGCCGTGGACGCAGATCCCTTGGGACCTGTGAGATGGAACACTGATGATCCTTAATGCTTGTTGTGCGCTTATCCAGCGTGATTTTGGGGGGTGGGTGGGTGGGGAAGATCTCGTCAAGCAGACACACAGACATGTCCAGTCGCACCGGGACTTGATGCCAAGGGGTTGTCACGCTTGCAGTCAAGCTCCTTGTCAACCATGCTAAATCAGGGCGCCCAATGGGCATCACACGTGAACATATACCTGGAGATTCACGGTGGACAATGAATCCGCAGCGACACGTTCATATAATTAACTATCTTGTTTCTGCCCAGGACGACGTTGGGTGGGCGCGCAACGACCAGTCTGGGCCGTTCTGCCCCTTGGGACAGTTGCAGGGCCATCACACGGCCGGTTTCTGTCAACCCCTATACCTGGGGTCAGTTCTGTCCAGCGGATCCAAGGGCAGTTGGGGTGAACTTTGCACCTTTGGCGTGGACAAGGGAACCGGCCAAGCTGGCCCTAGGGGTTGGCGGGGAGTTTGGCGGCAAGTGGGAGTGGCTATTTTAGGTGCGACCCTTAGCGCCACCCTTTTCTTGTTTTGCACCCACCCGGCCCACCCTAATAGAGTGAGTTTCGGTTCGCTGTGGGAAGGAGAGGGAGTTGAATACGAGAAAGGGGGAGCTGACTCAGGGTTGAATCACCATCAGTGTGGCATGGAGGTCTATGCGAAGCGAGGGCACTTTCAAGTGGGTCGCCAATCGGGTCTTGTATTAGTAAGGTGATGGACACCAAACTGTGTGAGCGTAATGTATTGTCGTGTGGGGAACACGGGTGAAGGAGACCGTAATGGCAGAAATTCATGATACTGCACAGTTTTTGATGGGACACGAGGAGTGCTCTTCCACTATGTGCATCTGGGGGATGTTGCTTTGTGATACATGCCCTCCCTGCCAGCCTGCCACAGATACGAGCACAGACAACAGAAGCACCCCCGCCGGGAGTCTGTGCCGCGTTTAGCTAGAGGTGCCCGAGCCACTTGCGGTCCCTGTCGCCGTGCGGATGGCCGCGGCTTGGAAGGCCCCAATCCCAGGAAGCTCCACAGGACGTTTTGGTGGTTGGGCACGTGTTCGTTTGACCTTCCGTTTCCATTCTCGGGTTCCCGTCACGCCCTGTCTCGCCCGACCCGTGATGGCAAGTTCCAG